TTCCATTTGTCAAGTGTTTCACTATTTTTTCTATACTGGTCTTATCAGCACCCCCCTCTTTCAATCGGAAAACAATCATGTTCACTTCTCTCTCCTNTGATTCAACAACACTGTTTATAGTTTTGCTGACATTTTTTACCACCAAGTTGATGCTGTCAACACTTTTTTTGACCTCCAAACCAACAACACTTGCAAATGTTTTATTCAATCGTTCTTGAGGTTGTTAATTTCAGTGCAAAGTTTTTTCTCTGAACTATCCAACAAGATCTGTTTTGATTCATTTTCAGCTATAATCAACTTAATAGTGTCGATGCCGGCAGTGGTGCTCTTATGCAGATCTTCAATTTTTTTAATAATTTCGTCGTTATTTTTCTCTATTTTTTCAATTTTTTTAATAATTTCATCGTTGTTTCTTTCCATTTTTTCAATTCTTTTCATAGCTTGCTTCATGGAGGATTTTGCACACGTATCGCAATAGTATCTAATATTGATGCAAGTCCTGGTAACTTCGTACATATCGTCAGTGAAATTGGCGAGCTTCAATCTGAACGAGTTTTCACACAACGAACAAGTGACATTTTAGCCATCTTAAATAACGTTTACAATAGTAAATTTCTTAGTTCAATTCACAAGTCTCAAACAATTAACGCAAACAAATTATATCGTTGAATTTGTCAAAATTTTCTCTATAAAATGAAATTTAAATTTTCTATCAAATGAAATTTAAATATATAGATATATATATATATATATATATATATATGGAATACATCATCGCGTTCGACGAATTGTGTCATTGATGAGACCTTTGATGCGAGAACAAGCCTATTTTTGATGAACATCGACGACCACAGGATCCGCAAGCCCACAACCCTGTGCTGTTACCATCCCGGGCCACCTGCTTACGCCGTCTTCTTTTTCCAACTAGAGCTGCAATGCGCGCCTCCTCAAAGGCGGAAACTGCCGCTTGTGAGCGTGTCTTCCACTGTGAACACTCGAGCGCAACGACACCCAAGGTTTTAGAATCCAGTCCGACTTTTTTTAGGTTTTCCTTCAGATTATCTTTAAATCTGCGAACTGGACCGCTTGCAAGGCGAACTCCAGAAGCCAGCTGTCCGAAAAACACCTGTTTGGGAATTCTTGTGTCCGGCATGCGGATAACGTGTCCCGCCCAACAAAACTGTGCCTGTAACAAAAATGCCTCGATACCCAAGATACCACACATTTCCAATACAGTCGTATTTGGCACCCTATCCTCCCATTTAATGTTAGCGATAACCCGTAAACATCTCATATGAAACTGATCGATCGATATGGCGCCTATAAGTAATCCATGTCTCACATCCATACAACATTGTGGTTAACACAACTGCCTTATAGACAGATATTTTAGTAGCCAGCGACACACAGCGACATTTTAGTTCCTTCCAGAGTCGTCCACTCAAACCACCAAAAGCAGCACCAGCCTTGGCAATCCTAACCGTAATTTCATCATCGATTGCAGTAGTGTTGGAGAGGTAGCTACCAAGGTAGCAAAATCGATCCACAGTGTTCAACTGCGAGCCACCAATAGTTACGATGGCTTTAGAATCCGACGAAATAGGATAGCTTTGGTGCAGAACCTCCGTTTTCTTCCTGCTCACCGTGAGTCCAAACCTTTCTGCAGTAGTGTGGAAACAGTTGAACAGAGCTTGAACTTCACTTTGTGTATGTGCAACCAAAGCGCAGTCATCCGCAAAGAGCAGGTCGCGGACTATTGTGGTTTGTGTTTTTGACTTTGCTTGTAGGCGTCTGATGTTGAAAACGTCTCCATCCATGCGATAGCAGATTGGAATGCCCTCTACACAATGTTGAAAGGCGACTCGAAGCATTAGGGAGAAGTAAATGTTGAACAGCAAGGGAGCCATGACACACCCCTGCTTGGTACCATTCGTCACCTCAAAGTCCGGGGATCGATCACCATTTTCAACTACGGTTGCCCTCATGTCTTCATGGAAGGAGCGAATAATCGACACTAAAATCGGAGGACAACCGATCTTTTTGAGACATTTCCATAACGCTGAACGGTTGACGGAATCGAACGTCTTTGTTAAATCTATGAAGACGAAGAAAGGTTCGCGTTGTTGCTCACGACATTTTTCTTGAAGTTGTCTGGCAGTAAAAATCATGTTCATAGTACCACGACCAGCCCGAAAGCCACACTGACCCTCTGGAAGGATACCAACGTCATTGACGTACTTGGTTCGGCGGTTGACGATCACGCGGGCCAATATTTTTCCAGGAATCGATAGCAGAGAAATGCCTCTGTGATCATTACAGCATGAACGATTCTCTTTCCGTTTGAATATCTTTGAATGATAAGGGCATCATTAAAATCTTGAGGAACCGATTTCCTATCCCACATGTCTTGGAACATTGTCACCATCCTGGTTTTAAGTTCGATGACACTACATTTGAAGAGTTCTGCCGGCAGCCCGTCCAAACCCGGAGCTTTTCCATTCGACATTTGGGTGATTGCTTTTTTCACTTCAGACAGGCTAGGGGGATCATCGAGATCACCTGCAATGCTCCAGTCAGGCAACTCAGCAAGGACTGAGTCATCAAACCGAGATTCTTGATTTAGCACACTGTTGAAGTGTTCAGCCCAACGAGCCAGGATTCCATGGCCATCCTTGATGAGTGTTTGACCATCTTTAGACAGTACCGGGACACTACCGGAGCTGCGGGGACCAAACACAGTTTTCAGATTTCATTGCCAGGATTCCATGGCCATCCTTGATGAGTGTTTGACCATCTTTAGACAGTACCGGGACACTACCGGAGCTGCGGGGACCAAACACAGTTTTCAGATTTCTGTAAAATGATTTCATGTCCCCGCGGCCGGCCGCTACTTGCAATTCATCAGCTCTGGCAGACCACCAAGATTCCTTCATCTGACGAAGCCTCCTCTGTGCAAAACTGCGTGCTTGCGTGTAGCATGCTTTCTTGACGCAGTTGCCCCTGTCATCTATCCAAGAACGATGGGTGCTGTGCATGTTGTCCAGCAGCCCACGTGCCTCCGTATCCTGATTGTCAAACCAGTCCCTATGCTTAATACGCTGATATCCAAGCACATTAACCGCAGCTTTCTCCACAATCTGCTTGAAATTTGACCATTCTGTGCTCTCATTTGTTGAAAACTCACCACACAATGCTTCGCGAAACAAATTTCTAGCTGACGGTTCTGTTAGCCGAGTCACATCCAGTTTGGCTTTCCTTACAGTTTTGTGATGCCTTCTGACTGGTTTAACAGTAAGAAACACCGACATCTTGATGAGGCGATGATCTGACCACATTGTTGATGCTCGCACCGCTTTAGTTAGACGAGCGAGACGAAGATCGCGTTGTCTGATAAGTATGTAGTCGATGAGATGCCAGTGTCGTTTCCAGCTAGTCTTCTTCCTGTCAGCCTGTTGGAAGACTGTATTTGTCACCACAAGATTGTGCTCTGTACAAAATTCGAGGAGCATGGTTCCATTTGAATTTTTCCTACCAACTCCATTTCGTCCAAGCACTTTTGGCCACAAGATGTGGTCTTTACCCACACGGGCGTTAAAATCACCCAAAACAAACAACTGATGGTTGTGTGGTGTTGAACAAACAGCGTCACCGAGCTGCCCATAAAACAAGCTCTTCTCCTCAAAAGTTGCTCCAAGCGTTGGCGCATAGCAGCTGATCAAGGTAGCAGTGTGACCACCCTCCAGGTTGAGCTGCATCCTCATTAGGCGTGGTGAAATACCATAAGGTACCTCATGTACAGATTTCAGGAGTGTGCTACAAATGGCAAAGCCCACTCCACCAGTACGCACCTCACCTGCAGGATGACCTTGGCAAAAGAAGGTGTAACCAGCACCTCTCTCCTCAAACTGTGTTGCTGCAGAGATTCTTGTCTCGCTGAGCGCAGCAACATCGATGTCATAACGCGCAAGTTCACGCGCAACAATGGCAGATCGACGTTCATGACACTTCCCAAGATCCAACATTGTCCGGACGTTCCATGAAGCCAAATTTAAAATTTTTCTTTTCTTTTGACCGCATAGTAGGATACACAGTCAGCCGCGGTAGGCTGACAAAGTCGGCAACATATTGGCTAGCTTTTTTTAGGACAGATTTTTTAGTCCCCTCTCGGGTTGGAGAAAGCAGTGCATCCCTGAATAGGGCTGCTTTGTCACCCTGGCAGGATACGAAAATTGCTGTAGCCATCAGCAACAAACGACCATCACACCAAGGCCGCCTGTGTGTTGTGACTAGACACTGCCAGTAGTACCCTCTACCTGTGCCCGTCGCCACTCGCCAATCGCCGCAGGACTTTGTTTGCACATCCATTCAAGCATCAGATCACCAAGACCACCTTCACACTGGTTGATTTAAGTGGAGCATGTTTGTGCGGAATGCTACACTCTCTCCTCCACAGGGGTCGGTATCAGCAGGCACAACGAGTTGAGACACGCCGAGCGACCAGTGTGGACGCAGAAGTTTGGATAAAACTGCGGTGCAGTTTTATCCTCGTAGCCAACTATCCTGGCTAGATTTTTAACTGGGTTTACTCCCAGGCCTTTCCCAAGCGTGGGTATAGCCGCAAGGCTGCGGAGGTTTGAAATCAGTTTTCCTTCTCCTAGATGGTATTTCCTTACGAGCGCCATCCGCCCGGAACCTGGTTTAGGCGCCAGTAACTCGCCTTCGCCCTCTCCAGTTAGTTAGTAGCAGCCCCCGCCACGTGCAGGAAGGAGTAGGACTTTGATGGTCGTAGCGCGCACGCTACAAGCCTTTGGTGGCATTTTGTAGAACTGGGGAGTTCAGCCCCCAGATCACCACCGGCAAACCATCGCGTTTGGGGGCCAAAAAAAAGCATTTGGGGTTGACTGTTGAAAATCGGATAATTTTTAAAATGTGTATTTCGATGTACACGGCCATGAATGGACTTTTGCTTAAATATTTGTTAGAAATAAATAAGAAAAAATCAGTTACTTCGGAGGGCATTTTTTGAGAAGTCATGGCTCAAACTTAATGATAGCAAACAGTGCTTAATTGTGTACTGGTGCCTGAAGCATTGCTGTTGCGGGTCCGGCGTTATGGAATGATCTGCCAGAGTCTTTGAAGAAACCGGAGATGACCATTGATGCCTTCAAGAAGAGTCTTAAAACTTATCTGTTTTTAATTTGATCTTGTTTTACTGTTTTTCGGATGTCTGCAGCTAATTATAGCATGTTACACTTATGCTAAACATTGTTGCATTGACGGACATTTACCGCTCTGATTTGTAATCAGTGATTGTTTATCTTTTCGTGCATGTACTCAGACAATGGTTTATTTGTGTGACTACAAATTAGCGCTTTTGAAATTTTCTTTTTATTTAATTTGCGCTGTACAAATGCTTTGAAATAAATAAAATAATATACATATATGCTGGTAAAAGGCTATAATTAATGCAGTAATTTATGAAATCTACAGAATTTCTAGCGTTGGACTGAAGTTTTCTTCGCTTTTAACTCACGAGAAAGATGCATTTGTTGCTCACGTTCTTATTCTCTTGTTAAGTTTCTTTGGTTGGTTGTTGTTGTTGCCTCTTCCGGCGGACTCTCAGAATTCCAATCGAAGTTGGAGCCAATCCACCACTGCAACAGGGTTCTTCCAGAGGTCTATTGGTTGAAGATCCGTGGAGTTTTGGGGACATCTAAACATATGCTGATGTGTATATCTGTATGATTGTTGCTGAAGGGACGGGTGTTGATGTGCCCACTGTCGATTCTGTTTTTGTAGCTGTTTAGAAAAATACTGTGGCCAGATCGGAGTTGGGCGAGGGTCCGTTTGATAGTCTGATAACTTTTAAGTGATTCTTCGGAAAGATCTATTTTTGGTGCTGGAGGAGGCCATCCGTCGAGCAATAACGGCGACTGGTACGATTCAGCTGCTTTAGCAGTGTTTGTATGTAAGCTCTTTAAAGCTGTCTTCAGAGTATACTTTCCAGTTGGTCGTAGATATTTTAGTGAATGCTGGTAAAAAACCAAAATTAATGCAGTAATTTATGAAATCTAAAGAATTTTTAGCGTTGGCTAGAAAAGGCCATTATTAATGCAGTAATTAATGAAATCTACTGAATTTCTAGCGTTGGCTAGAAAAGACCATAATTAATGCAGTAATTTATGAAATCTAGTTTCTAGTTCTGTAGATTGCTTAAATTACTACATTAATTATGGTCATTTACCAGCATTCACTAAAATATTTACAACCAACCGAAGAAACTTAACAAGCAAACAAGAACGTGAGCAACGAATGCTCCTTCTTTCTCGTGAGCAAAGCAAAATTTAGTCCAACGCTAGAAATTCTCTAGATTTCATAAATTATTGCATTAGTTATGGTCTTTTATCAGCATTCACTAAAATATCTACGACCAACCAAAAAAACTTAACAAGCAACGAACTCCATCTTTCACGTGAATTAATAGTGAAGCAAAATTTAGTCCAAAGCTAGAAATTCTCAAGATTTTATAAATTATTGCATATCTAATGTGAGTGTTGTGTGTGTGTGTTATAGTGTGAATAGTTATCGATTATGTCTATAGACAATCTGCTGGTTATTTTGGCTGTCTATCACAAATCAACATTTCGACAGAAAAGCCAACTACCTCAAAGATCATGCGTCAAAACAGCAGAAGAGGCACTTGAACGAAAACTTAACGAACTCTCAAACGCTGATGACATCGCTTTCTTGGAAGAAAACGCCAAAAGGGCACAACAGCAGTTATCTGCCATCAGAGGGTGCCTATGCAGTCGGCTAAGAGGTAAATGTCGAAAAGGCTGTCCAGGTCCAACTAAACAACAAATTAGCGCCAAAACGGTCATCGACGCAAGCGATAGTCGACGATTTCAAGTACCCCAGCGTCAAATAAGAAGGACGTAATTGCTTTGGCATTCTCCAAACTCAAGACCATCCTGAAATCGTCCAAACCCAAAGTCAACTTCAAGACTCGAATCGTAGACTCTAACGGAAGCTACGAAACATATCAGCAAAAGGTAACCAATTTTTTTTTATAAATACAAATTGAAATACATAAGGAAAGGTTCTATAAAAACACACTTAAAACACACACATAATATTGAAATAACAAGAGAAATTCTGGACGACAACACCAAAATAATATACTGTAATTCCAGCCATTCTCATCTCAAATTAGCCGAAGCCATTCTCATCGACATAAAACAACCCCTGATAAACAAGCAACAAAAGATTTCAACCATACTCTCGACAAAAAGGCCAATAGTTAAATATACTAACAATACCAATGTTACCGATGAAGACACTGAAGAAAGCAACATCGACCAAAGTGCACCACCAAAGAGCAAGTAAATGATACCGAAGCAATAAAACATAACACTGAAGCAATAAAACATAATTTCATAGTAATCAGCCCGAACAAAGAAACTATATCAATAAATAAAAAAGATAGTAAAATTAACAAAAACACTTAAGACACGTAGAAAGCATGACACTGAAGAAAGCAACATCTACCAAAGTGCATCGACCTAAAAGCAAGTTAATGATACAGAAGCACTAAAACAATACCAAAACAATAAAACACAACACGAAAGTAATCAGCCTGAACAAATAAACCATACCAAAAAATAAATTGGAAAACTATATATTATTTTAACTTTAATAAAATAAATAATGACGACAAGAAATATTGAGAAATGTGATAAAAAAAACTATCCCACGCTAGAAATTTGGTAGATTTCATTATGCATTAATTATGGTCTTTTACCAGCATATATATATATATATATATATATATATATATATATATATATATATATATTGTGATCCAGTATACTGTTGCTCCTCAAAATCTTGTATATATATATATATATATATATATATATATCCTCGTCCCAATATATATATATATATATATATTTATATATACATGCATTATTGTTTTTGACTGAATCAAGATATATGTTGAATCAATCTTTAACTCGAAAAATTAAAAATTAACTTGTATGAAATAAAAGGCAAAACATGAAAAAATAAACAAATATAAGACAAAACGTGAAATGTACTACCAGCTCTGCAATATGCAAAATGCAATATAGATATATGTTGTTATAACCTACCCCTTGAACTTGAAGGATGTGGTTATTTCTCTCTACGTGGATTCTTGACTCCTGAACAGACAATTTCTGATGAACTTTATCAGAAAGAAAACAATGCTGGCAATCACTTGTGTGTATTGCTGTGATCAATCGCCCGTTTATTCAATCGATAAAATCATTAGAAAACACCACAATAACTAACAGCACAATAAATCACGGAATACAACTATTCGTCAGTAGTTAAGCTACTCTCATCGGACTAATTACATTGAGTTTTTTAGCCCTGGTATTCTTTACTGCAGTAAGTTTCCAGCTATCAAAATCTTACCTCTGTCACCAGTGTGTAATCTCCTGAAAATCCCACTTCTGACACCAGATGTTATAATCTTCTGACTATCCCACTTCTGACACCAGTTGTTACAACCGACCCCTTGAACTTGAACCTGAAAATCAACACAACAAAGGAAATTGACCAAATCGAGGACGATTTTTGGTCTCAGTGAAGGGCATGTTACAGACGAGAAGGCGAGATAAGAACTAGTACTTAAAAATTGTGTAAAGCGCTTGAAAATTTAATAGAAGTCGTAACTAATTAAAACAGTTGTAAAAAAAGTCACGTGACACGGCATCGGTAGCTATATAAGAAACGCCAAGAGAATACAAGGAAGACACAACACGAGGAGCAGGTAAGAAGAAGACGGAACACAGTTGACGTAAAAGTGATTGATGTGATTTTACGTAGTTATTTGGATTAATTTATTGTTTATATTACTGCTGGTATTAAATAAACGTTCAATTTAATTTTTGTTTAAAATAGTTCATCTATCGGAAATTTTGAACCTACGGATAAACGAACTCTTGACTATCGTTGGAGGCTACAACACGGTGTTGGAGATATAGCGAGTATTGAAGCTATAACATCGGTGTTGGTAGTTACGAGGTCGAAAAGGTTAAAACACTGGTGTTAGAAATGGGATCTTCAGGAGATTACACACTGGTGACAGAAGTAAGATTTTGATAGCTGGAAACTCACTGCAGTAAAGAATACCAGGGCTAGAGAATTCAATGTAATTAGTCTGACAAGAGGAGCTTTTCTACTGACGAATAGTTGTATTCCGTGATTTACCTGTCGATTAGTTATTGGGCTGTATTCTAACGATTTTATCAATTGAATAAACGGGTGATTGGCCACAGCAATATGCACAAGTATTGCCAGCACTGTTTTCTTTCTGACAAAGTTCATCTGAAATAAATCTGTTTAGGAGTCAAGAATCCACGTAGAGAGAAATAACCATACTCAACAAGTTCAAGAGGTCGGTTATAAGAATATATAATTACGCCTATTATGCATTTTTCAGTGATATCTACTCTTAAAAGTGTGCCCTCGAATACTAAATTGCCTAGTTGAACAATGTAAGAAATTTCTCCGTAAACGAGCGCTGTTCCTCCTGTAGCTGTTCGAAGAATGTATTTATGAAAATTTTCTCTTTCTAAGTTGGGTATCAGATCATAAAATTGACATTGTTGCTGGGTACTGGAGCGTCAATTTTACCAGCCAACTTCTGTGAAAAAGTTCTCAGAAAGTGGATGGTTTATTCTCCTTCCAAAAAATGTTTATTTTGCTTTTGTTGTCGAATTTTTGCTGCTTGTGATAAAGAAAGTAATAATTTTTCAAAATTTGTTACAGGGTTTAATAATTGGTGGAAACTAAACCCTAAGATTTCACATCACAAAAATTCTGAAATTCACTTAAACAATCATGAAAAATGGAAAACATTAGAACTAAGTTTGAATCTTAATAAAACCATTGATGCCGTTCATCAAGAAAATCGAGAACTGGAAACTAAAAAATGGAATGACATTTTACACTGCTTATTGGATGTCACCATGTTTCTAGCAAAACAAAATTTACCTTTTCGAGGCCACAGAGAAGATGACTTTTCTAACAACAAAGGCAATTTCTTAGAGTTAGTTGAATTAATTTCACACTACGACCCTGTCTTAAAAGAACATTTAGTGAGGGTCCAACATAGCAAGGCAGGAAACACGATTTCATATTTTTCTCCTAAAATTCAGAATGAATTTATTTATATATTGGGAGATACTGTGAAACAGAAAATTATTGATGATGTAAAGCAAGCAAAGTATTACGGGATAATGTTTGATTCAACACCTGATATATCTCACCAAGACCAATTAAGTGAAATTATTAGATATGTTCATATAAAAAACAAAAATGTAGAGGTAAGAGAATCATTTTTAGGATTTTTTCCTCTTGCCAGAAAGAAGGCTATTGATATCACACAAAGAATTGTAAATATTATTGATGAAGAGGGTTTGGACATAAACCTATGTCGAAGCCAAGGTTCTAATCATTCACTTAACTTGAGCGGGGTTCACGCATTTGGAAGCAATCCAACTTGTGTAACGTTTTTTGGAACAATTGAAAACATTTACAACTTCTTTTCTTCATCAACTCATAGATGGGATATATTGTCAGAAATAGTCGGGATCACTGCAAAAAGGCTAGCAGGAACCAGGTGGAGTGAGCAATATCATACGGTGAAACCTGTAATGAATCATTTCAGCAAGTTGGTACAGGCTTTAGAAAAATTATGTGATCCATCAGAAAATGTAGATACGAGAGGTTCAGCTCAAATTTTAATGAAAAATATTCAATATTTCAAATTTTTTGCTTATCTTCATTTCTGGAGCAGTACTCTTGAGGAAGTCAATCATACTCAAAAATACTTGCAAACAGAAGGAATTGGTTTAGATAAAACCATTGAAAAATTAGATACCTTAAAACTTTTTCTGCATGAGAGTCGCGATGAATTGGTTGAAAATGCATTGATATTTTCTACAAAAATTTGTGAAGAAATGGGAATAGCTACAGAAAAATTGGGTCGAAAAAGTCAAAGCCAACTGCAGATGCTAGCAATTTTCTGTTTGGGTTTACTCCCATAGCCTTCCCATGAATGGGTGTGGCCGCAAGGCAGCGGAGGTTTGAAGTCAGAGTTTTCCTTCTCCTAGGTGGATGGCCAGTCATGGCTAACGAGCTCCACTTGCCCGGAACGTCTGGTTATGGCGCCAGTTACTCGCCTTCGCCCTCTCCTGTTAGTTTAAACAGCTTCGCCACGTGAAGGCCAGGAGTAGGACTTGATTGACCGAGGTGAGATACCTACCGCCAATGGGAGCATTTTTTAGAAGATGAAAGTTCATTTCTCATCCCCACCCCCGGCATAGTCAACCCGTTTGAAGCCAACATACATACATACATACATACATACATACATACATACATACATACATACATACATACATACATACATACATACAGTTTTAGGTTGTCGCACGGGCTGGCAGATTTTATAAGCTCTTGATTTTTTTTTAGATATTTCTGTAATTTTAACTATTTTTATAATGTTTCCTATTCAGTTTTCATATTGCGTTTGTTTCATCTTTATATATTCAGAGTTTTTATACATATTTATCTCTGTATCTTTTTTTTGCGGAGGTTGGTTTCAATAAGTTAAATATTTATTCCAATTTTTTCATTACATGCTCTCTTTGTTTTATTTATTTTTTTTATTATTGTAATCTTTTAATATATTTTTTTTAATTTTGAAAAACTTTAAATAATTCAAATAATTTTTTCTTTCAACACACTAATATCTAATATTGAATTATTTATATACATACATACATATTTGTATATATAGATAGGTAGATTTTTAAAACACAATATTTTCGCGCGACACATACGCGCTTGGGATTAGTGATTGTTAACATTGTTACACATTCATTTACATTGTGTTTTTATAAGTTCTTTAGTTGGTTGTATTCACACTTTTATATATTAATTTCAAGTTGACAAACGTCTACACTTGTGTTTTTAATAGGCCCACAGTTGGTTGCAGTTTCATTTTGACAGCATTTATATTCACCGGTCTATAGCCGGTCTTACCTTGTAATAGTTTCATACATGAATTCCAGTAACCTCAGCAATATAAAAGCGCATTTATTAATATCAAAACACCATTTTTCTAAATTTTGCCACAAATCACAACAAAATTTATAAATTGATAAAATAATTTAATCCTATAATCAAACATAATGACTCATTGTAATAATTCAATAAATTAATATATGTCAAGTCAAGGTTTGTCGTTCAACTCATCCTCCCTCACTCTGTGTCAAGTTTGTCACATTTTAAGCTGAGGCAGGATGGTTTGTCAGACATGGTGGAAAGGTGAGGAGAATGAAGTGTTTGAGGTCGTTTAAAAAGCCACCCTCAAGCCTCAAACGAAAGTCATTAGGCGGTCGCATTGGTAATACATCAACCACAAATGTTGAATCAAAAACTAATACAAATTTCCCTTTGTTGCAAATTTTTTTCACAAATCTACCCATTGTCGTTTGATTGATCACATACCTAAGCAATCACGTAGCAAGTTTGGTCATACTTTGACCAATGTTTTGAAAGCTTTTCTTGATCAACCTTCAAACACAATTTCGTGGTTTAAACTATTATTCCTATCACGCTTGGTTCTCCGTAAAGAGCCCCGCGGAGGCAGATGCCACAACATCAGCGTCAAAATCAACAACAGGCAGGGCGCTTTGACAAAAGGCTCATTTGAAGAAATGGTGAATTCATTTGAAACTGGCTCAGATGTTAACAAGAAAAATGCTCGTCAGCCAAAGTTGGGTGCCCTAGGCAAGTGTAAAATGGAGCAAAGCAACATCAAGAACGCCATGAAAGTATTGTCATCAACTGATACAATGGCTCCAAACTCGGTAGACACACTTGATGCCCTGAAAGACAAGCATCCCGATGCTCCGCCCGATAGAAAAACAAGCCTGGATAAAGAACTCACAATTGTCTCAATCACCGCACAATAGCTGATGATATGTTTGAGACAGTTCCCAAAAAGAACATCCGGGGGAAGGAATGGCCTAACTCATCAGCATTTGAGGGATATAACTCATGAAAAATTAGAAACCACGGAGCTTGTTAATGCCGCTACCAGTTTCATCAATCTGCATTAAAGTGGCGTCTGTCCTCCCGGGGTTGTCCCAAATCTGTTCGATGAAATGGTCTAAATGAATATGGTCTAGAATATGGTCTAAATCCTAATTATCGAATATGGTCTAAATCCTAATTATACATGTATACATACATACACACATATATGCATACATGCACATACACATACAATATATATCTAGCTATCATCTTGATCAATAGATCAATGTTAAATAATCATTTAATGTTAATCCGAATTTATAAGCATTAATCAATTTTAATCCCCATCATCCAAACATCAATGGCTGATAAACACAATACTAAATCATCGACCACATCACCAAACGACGAGGGAGAAGAGTTGGCTATTATTTGGATGTCGTCAGCAAATGCATGAAACCTGAAATTGTACGACTCAATTATTGTGTAGACATCTGCCGTATAAAGCAAAAAGAGAATGGGACCTAAGACGGAACTCTGTGGTACACCGTATGACAAAGCATCGACAGCTGCCAAATTTGTTTTGAATAAAATTTGTTGAGTACGACCAGCAAGGTACGACACGAACCACTTGTGAACGACTCCCGATAGTCCAAATGTTTGCTTCAGTTTTTTGAGAAGTATTGCATGATCGACGCAATCGAACGCCGAGCTCATGTCCAAGAGAGCAAGCAATGACACATTTTGTTCGTCCATTGATGAATACAACCTTGACGAAACATCAATTAAAGCCGTTTCCGTCGAGTGAAACACACGATAACCCGACTGGTGAACCGGCAGAAGATTATGAATTTTCAAATGAGAAGCAAATTTTGATAAAACGATTCTTTCAACCAACTTTGACAAAAACATAAGGTTAGATACAGGTCGGTAATTTTTTAACTCATGTCTATCAAGAGAATTCTTCTTCAAAATCGGTGTAACAACAGCATTTTTAAACTCTGATGGAAATGAGCCAGAACTTAAACACAAATTTATGAAAAACGTTAAAAACGGTAAAAACAAATCAACAAATCTTTTAAGAATTTTTGTGGGCACACAATCAAGAAAACAAGATTTTGATGGAGACTCTAAAATGACTTTTTATGTAGCTGTCAGTACAGGGCGAGAAGTTTGAAAAAAAAGATTCTTCATCAAGATCACATGGTGTGAATGTTGGTTCATCGCAATGATTGGTTGAATTACGAACATCATCAATTTTGCTTTTGAAAAACTTGGAAAAGTCAAGAGAACTATGATCATCTTCTGATACATCCATTACCTGTTCCATTCCAAGCAAACCGTTAACGGCATTCCAAAGACGTTTTGGTTTGTTACTATTTGATTCCACCAAGTCTTTCCAATAACAATTTATCTTTTTGACAAACAAGCAATATTTATCTTTAATAGCTTGTCGCCAGATATTCTTATTTTTATCACTTGGGTTGTTTCGATAAACCCGTTCTAATCTGCGACATAGCCTATATACATATATACTTTTGGAATCAGACTGTCGTGTGTACAGCTTTCAAGAAACATCACAGCATCCCCCGCACCGCCGAATCTTCAACCAAGCCTCCCAATTTCTCAAAAATTGAAAAACCCAGTTACAAACCCAACAATGCGGAAAACGCGGAAACATCCCCCAACAACCGCACATATACATACATAAATATATACACATATATTTTGGCCCAGTTTGTTGCATATACAGATATTAAGAAACATCACCGCATCCCCACGCCGCCGAGTCCTCAACCAAGCCCTCCAATCCTCCGAACAACCACCCAACCGACACCACTCAATCCACCCAAATCAATAACAAAATCCCCAATCACCCACATAACCGCATCCCCCACACATATACCTACATTACCGAAAAAAGCCCCTATGCAAATGCATACACAACAAAAAAATAAAAAATAAATAAATAAAAAATAAATAAATGCAGCCCAGAACAACCAGAAACCCCATCATCAATCGAATAAACCAAACAATATCGACAAATCAATTGTCCGAAAAATTTGAAAATCCCACGAACCCGACAATACGAAAAATACGGCGACACCCCCCATTAGTACATACATACACATACCAATATATATAAATCTATAAAATAAAAATGAAAAAATGTTTATCCATGTACATATACACACACGCAGACACACATATATGCTTACTTTAGAATAAAAAGTAACTTTACATAATATTATTAAAAATAAAGCTTTTCAAATCTTTCATGAATTGAGACAGTTGTTGCGATTCATTTGGCAAGCCCTTCTGTAGCATCATATTCCACGTTCTTGGACCTCTGCTTATGATGTTATTGAATAGGCTATGCGTTTTTGATTTAGAAGAAAGGAGAAACTTCTGTCTTCTGACGTTGTTACTAGGTGCAAAGTAGTTTCCGAAAATTGATGGCAGCTGGTTTGAGACTTGCTTGTATACAAATATCATTGTGCAAAATGTGAAAAAATTAAAATTTAAATTTTTAGTTAATTTAAATAAAGATTGCGCATTTTCATATTTAGTTGATAAGGTGCTCTTTTCATAAGATTTTTGACTGAGCTGGTGATTGAGGGATAGGTACCTGACCAGTAAGTTATATGAGGGATACACAAAGCATTTTATAGCATATTTAAGCATCTCTTCGGCAAGAAAAACTTTATTTAATTTATTAAACTAATAAATTTTGCTAATTTTGAGCAGATATTGTCTATGTGTGAACGAAAGGATAATTTCTGCTCCAGAAAGACACCCCAAAACTTGACTACTTTATTTTCAATGATGTCACAACCATTTATTACAATTAAAAAAGGTTCTTTATAATTTAAATAATTTACTGGACCAAACAATCATCTGAGTTTTATTCATATTTATTGTTAATTTATTATTTTTAAACCAGTTGCTAATGTGCTCAATTTCTATGTTAGTTTTTGCAATCAATTCATTGATGTTTTTGCCTACACTGAAGACATTAGTGTCGTCAGCGTAGCAGATATAATCAAAGAAAGTTGAAGAATTTGGCAAGTCGTTTATGAAGATAACGAAAAGCAGGAGCCCTAAAATCGACCCTAGCGGAACCCCAAATTTGTTAAACTCTATCGTCGACACTTCATTATTCCATTTTAGAAACTGATTTCGATTTGAAAAATAATTTTGCATCCACTTTAGTGTTGTGCCTCTTATTCCATATTTTTCAAGTTTTTAGAAGTATTCTATTGTCTATGCAATCAAATGTCTTGGTAAGATCTAGGCACGTACCAACGACATAATTTTTATTTTCTGTCTCTTTCCCGATTTTACGGAGTAATTCTACAATAGCTAGTTTCGTTGAATAGTTTTGTCTAAATCCAAATTGAGAATTTGTTAACAGATGATTTTTTTCGAAGAAAAAGATGAGCCTGGTGTGCATCAACTTTTCGATAATTTTAGAAAAAGCAGGTAGAAGAGCGACGGGTCGATAATTTGTAAAATCAGACTTTCCTCTTTCTTTTGCTATGGGAATAATTTTAGCCGTCTTGAAAAAGGAAGGAAATTGACCTGACATAAAAGACAGATTAATGAGATGTTCAAGCACATAAACTGTTGATCGGATGGTAGCCGTAACAATTTTACTAGGTATTTCATCTAATCCAAATGACGACTTAGTCTTGATTAGCTTTGCTGTGGTTATTATTTCTTCTGTTGTAGTTTGCAAACAGAAAAACGAATTTGGCATGTGATGATAAATTGCTTCTTTCCATAATTGATTGTCAGGTAAAAATGTATGCAGGTTTTGAGAAGTGTCAAAAAAGTAGTTAATTAGAAAATTTGAAAGTGATGCTATAATTTGTTCATTTTCTGTGATCGATGTAAAATTAATCTTTTTTTGTCTGCTTGTTAACCTGTTAATTATTGACCAAGTTTTTCTCAAGTCATTTTTATTTTTATCTAACAAGTCACAGAAATATTGCCTTTTGAGAAAAGATTTTACCTTGGTGCATATTTGACTTTGTGATTTAAATTTGTCCAGTCGGTTGATAGTAGCCTTTCATTTAGTTTATCAATTCTGCTTCTTGAAAAAGAATATTGATTTTCTTGGTTTTCAGATTTTATATTCACTAATTGTTGCTCGAAACATGCAAATATAGGTGAGTGATCAGAAATGTCTGTCAAATGCACACCACAGATTGTAACGTCATCCGATGCATTGGTGAAAATAATGTCGATCAGAGAGTTTTTATTGTACGTTTATTCTTGTTGGTTTTTCTATTAATGCCTTTAAATTATAGGATGTCAGTAAATGTTGGAGTTGACTACTGCTAGATTCGTAGTTTTCAAGAAGATCTGTATTCAAATCTCCGGTTAAATAAACCAGTTTTTTTTCGTTATTTATGGCTAGCAAAACTTGTTCAAGTTGTTTCAAATATACTTTTTTGTTGTAATGTGGTGGTCGATACGTAGCAATAATTAATGAGTTGTTTTCAGACTCTAATTCATTTGAAATCATCAAATCGTTTCTTATCTTAAATATAATACCATCTTTTACAAAGAGGCCGACTCCACCCCCTGTGTCTATCTGAACGATTTTTGCCAACAAAATTGAACCCACTAATCCCAATCGCATCTTCATTTATATTGTTCAACCACGTTTCGGGTATAGCTACGACATCAAAATTAATTTTGCTACATAAGCATCTGCGTCCCGTTATTATTTTGAAATGATACGATTTTGGCTACGGTGAAGCATATCTAACAGGCGGACTCAATCATGTCAAATCGGCTGAACAGTTTGATCTAATAAATTTTCGTTTAATAAAAATACACGGAATTATAAAAATTAATTTTGTTACATAAGAATCTGCGTCCCGTTATTTTTTTGAAACGATAAATAACGATACGATAACAATACGAT